TCACCATTTTCTTTCTTCAAGCTTCGTTCGAGAAAATGTTGGATATTTCGCCATTTTTGCCATCTGAAGAGAAAAAAATCGAATCCTTCAGAGGAAGTTTCGTCTCTGTGACTTCGAACGATGATATACAGTACAATGGTGTTCTCCATCAAATCAATCTCCAAGAAGCTACTCTATGTATAAAGAACGGTACGGCTTTCTTCTTTCTTTGATTTACATGTATTTTCTCGTGATAATAACCATCGACATGTGATAGAGATCAAATTCTTGCACAAGTTTCTGTGATGATAAAAAAGCCATGGACTTTCTTGGAGAGTAAAAATCTCAAAAACCTACTTCTTGATGTTTGCAGTAACACGTTGTGCAAAAGATGAGATTCAGAGGGACGATCTACAAATCCTTCCTCGTAAGTAACCTTTGTTTGTGTGTTCTCGTTAATCGTTATACAATGATGCTTAATTACTTGTGTTACACTCAATTTTGTATATAGAACCTTGAATTGTTTGTGTTGAACTGTTTATGCGGTAATCTGTTATGGTGCAGAGACAAATACTAATTACAGGTCACAACTTCCACTCTCTAATGAGTTTTACGATCATATGGTCTTTCATGCAAGTGACATTAAGGTTAGGCTTTAGTTTTGTATTTATATTACTTAGCATATAAGTGACATGAATTTAACAAGCAGCTTTCACTTCGTTTCCAGGATCTCAACATTATATCTCAAGCAAAGCAGAGTGAATCCATCATTGGCCATTTCGTGAGTGTGATTACCACAGAAAATGTAAGAGTCGAAGGCACTCTCACACATCTTAATCTCCATGGCGAAGTTCTCATAATGAATAATGGTGAGGCAAAGTTTCTTTGATTTCTTTTCTCCCAAGAAACCATGTTCAATAGAGATTTGATTCACTTGCGTTTGGACTTTGCAGCTTACTGTTATGGAAGTGAGGGGAGGAGAAGGAGGAGACGCATCAGATCATGCAATCAACTTAGTGATCCAGTTAACTTCCGATTCAGAGATATCATGGCAAGTAGCACTTTCTTCCTTTCTAATCAATGTTCATACTAAAGAATTTACAATCAAATTGCATTTTACAGGATTATCTCTTTGATTTAGTTTTCTGAGATATCATGGTGGTCAAAAACGAGTGTTCTTTGAATTCTCTACTAAAGCTAATCTCTGTCTTCTTCTTATAAGGCTTAATATATGAATGACCACACTAAAATCGATCTCAGTCTTGTTCTTGGTTCTATGTTCCTTTGATCTTTTAGGATATATCATATATGGAATTAGAAATGGAACAATCTGCTAA